AATAATATTATTTATTTATTTATTTATTTATTTTATTTATATAAAATAAATATAATAAGGTGTATACAAGGAATACACTAACTCTCCTTACTATATAAATATAAATAAATAAATAAATAAATAAGGTGTATATCCATGCATATACACCCCAATACATGCATATTATCTATTAATTTTATTTATTAAATATTTATTTATTTATTTATTTATTTATTTATTATTTATTGTATAAATAAATATATTTAATACCTAGCTAGCTAGCATACTAGCATACTAGCCAGCTAGCATACCAGCATGCTAGCTAGCTAACTAGGTAATAAATAAATAAACGAATAAATAAATAAATAATTATAATAATAAATAAATAAAAGTATTAACAATAAAAAATAATTATTTTATACCTAATTATATATCCGTCTGCCTACTAAGGAAAAGGCAAATAAATAATAAATATATAAATAAATAAATAAATAAATAAATAATAAATTAAATAATTAAATAAATACTAGTCTATAATAATAAACAATTAAATCAAATTGTTCTTATTTAATTTGCTGCTGCTGCTGCTGCTGCTGCTGCTGCTTAGCAGCAGCAGCAGCACCAGCAGCAACAGAAGAAGACCATTGGTCTATCTATTATATAGATGACCAATGGTCTCTCTTCCTTCTCTCCTTATAATGCATGCATGCATGCATAAATAAATATAAATAAATAAATAAATATATTTATTTATTTATTTATTTATTTTCTTGCATTAATAAGATAATTATTAATTCTATCTGTATCTGCTGCTCCTGCTGCAGCAGCAGCAGCAGCAAATTGTATAGGACCTATATTAAGATATGTATCTTTTATAAGGAATTCTTTTTGTATATTGCTGCTAGCAGCAGCAGCAGCAGCAAATTGTGTAGGTGTATTCAGGTGTATATCGAAGGCACCAGCAGCAGCAGCAGCAGCAAGATTATATTCATTATTACCTGCTGCTGCTGTATTAGTAGTAGTACTAAGACCGCATGCAATTGCTGCTGCAGATAAAGGTACTATATAAGGAGAAAAAGAAGCAGCAGCAGCAGCAGCATTATTAATAAATACAGCAGCATTAGATAGATAATTATAAGAAGAAGAAACAACAAAAGAACCACAAATAAGTCCTAATGTATATCCTATACTACAATCATAACTAGAGGGAAGAGACCCTCGTACCTGCATGCATAAATACATATATTAATTAATTAATACATTAATTTATTTATTTTTTTAATATTTATTTATATATTTCCTTTTTTTCCTGCTTTTCTATATATTATATTACTATATTTATATCAAACCCTAAACCCTAAACCCTAAACCCTAAACCCTAAACCCTAAACCCTAATTACCTGATCGGATAGATTGAAACAAATTGGCGCAAAACTTCCATTAAATTTACCAGCAGACTTCCATTCCTTTAATACATCACTAACCTAAATAAATAAATAAATAAAATAAATAAAATAAATAAATAAATAAATAAATAAATATATAAATAAATAATATATATTATATAATTACTACTATATATACACAAATATAAGAACATGTCTATTTACTTTATTCTTAATAATAAATTTATTTATTTATTTATTTAATTTATTTATTTAATTTATTTATTTATTTATTTAATTAATTAATTTATTTTCTTTTTTTTCTTACCATAGCAGCGAGTAGATTAAGTATAGGGAAGGATGCAGCCTTAGTAGGGAAATTATTAGTTGAATTAAATAATTGAGTAAATAATTGTTGATAAGAAGAAGGAAAAGAATTAAATATAATTAAATCATTAGAAGATAAATTAGAAGAATTCCCTTTATTTATACATAAAGATATGGCTACACTACGGAGCTGCATATACACCGCAAAAAAAAAAAGAAAAAAAAAAAAAATATTTATATTTCTCCTTTTTCTTTTACCTATTATTTTATTTATATTATTTTTTATTTTATTTTATTTTTATTTTATTTTATTATTATTTAATATATAAAATGCATGCATGCATTAATTTATTTTCTCTTTCTACTTATTGAGGGAGGGTGCCATGTATATAAACTATATAATTAAATATATAAAAAAAAGAATTAATTAATAACTTAATTAAATTAAATAAATAATTAATTAAATTAATTAATTAATATAAATAAATAAATAAATAAATAAATAAACATACTGCTTTATTAGTGATGAATAAATCCTCATTTAGTAAAATAACGCCAAAGTTCTTCTTCTCTGCACTACGAGCAGCAACTCCCTCAGCTATTTTCTATAAGAAAAAAAAAAGAAAAAAAGAATAAATAAAATAAATAAATAAATAAATAAATAAAATAAATAAATATGTAATTATTGTTAGCCAACAAAAAAAAACAAGGAATAAAAAGATTAATTAAAAAGAATAAAATAAATAAGAATAAAAAAAAAAAAATTAAATAAAAAACTAAATAAAAAAAAATAAACAAAATAAATAAAA